CATGCCGGGAGGGGCCGAGTGACCGGAACGATAAAATGAGACGAAAGTCAAAAAATCGGGCTAATTGCAAAGAAATTAAATCCGGTTATCCCGGCGACCCTTTGTTATTGGGGTCTTTCTGCCTTTGTAATGGCAATTATATTCTTGGAGATTAGACAAAAATGGGTGGGAGCGAACGATCGTCGACTGGAAAATTGCCCGTAATAGGCAAGACGCGCATAATGAATGCTCTCGATTGAATAATGAAAAATAAATTAGAAAAATATAAAAGGAAAATTTTAATTTAAAATAAAATAAAAATTACGGTGCCGAGTAATTTCGTAAATTATATTCGCGCCAGTTATTTCAATTCTAATTTAAATATTATAATACATTTTGAAAATGAGAATAATAAACAGGTCACCAGAGCGCATGAATATCAAATTTACAACAATGGAATTTTACAGAATGTAAAGGAAATAAATCTTTTGTAATTTAATAATGATAACGACGGTTCAGACGTATCAAATTGTGTGATAATATTTTTTCAGCAAAAATTTGAGGCGTAACTTTAAATATGAAATGAGCTGATAGTTGCTTTTCTTAATGTTTTAAAATTTGCTTAATAATCGAAGTAGAGTGAAGGTGATTGTTTGATGTAATGATAAAGTAAATATCGTGTGTGACGTCATAAACCGCTATGCAGTATATTGTGAAGTATAAATCACTAAGTAGACCATGTATGTGACGTCATAGATATGAAAAGTCATACACGGTTTCGAAAATTAAGACTTCATTACGGTGGTTGACCAACTTTTGAAAACATTTCTTGATACCCCGTCGAGTTCTTTGTTATTCAAAACAACACAATTATAAGCCATATGTGCCTTTCTTTATTGTTACGAAATGTTCCGATGAAACATATTGTGAAAGCCTATTAAAGTGTATTATATACAGAGTGACAAAGCGGGAATAATAATTGAAATTCCGTAATTTTTTATGACTAAGTCGCATAAAAGTTGAATATTAAATTTTCAAAGTCGATTCGTGCCCACACGGACTTAATTATGAGACCGGGTTACGCAATTAAGTTATGACCGAGGCATGTATTTTATATCAATTTTAATCTAAATTTTATTTCAGGTGCCGCAAAGGGTCTATTTTCAATAGTGCATAGTTCATGAAAAATAATTATAACCCAATATCGTGTAAATATCATTTGTCTAGACAAATTTTATCTTACAAAATCTATAAAAATTGTCATATCGTACTAAAAATCTGGTTGGATACGTGATTCATTTAAACACAAAAATTAGTTTTTTCGCGATTGCTATTAATATATATATCACGATATTTCGGGTTTTATTCTAATGTCTTTGATTCTTCTTATAAAGTAAACCAAAAAAATGACAAAATTTTAGGATGGGCGTCGGCGAAAATATGTTAAAACAATTGTCAGCTAAAAAGTTTTCCGAAACAAGTTTACAATATGTAAATTGTTTGCGGTGCTATTTTTTTAAGTTTATTTTGAACAGTTGTTTAGCAAAAGAAATCGGAATAAAAGAACGATGATAAATATATTAGGTTGATATAATAACCGTTTTTTTGCGGTATCAGTAAATGAAATCGAATAGAAAAGTTAATAAGTTGGCTTCGAGTGACTAGCCTGGTAGCTAGTCTCTCTGCTAATTGTATCACTCATTCACATTTGTTGTTTGTAGCAGTAAGTGGCAAATAAGTAATTTCCTCCATTTTGTGTGGTTTGACTTAATCAGTACTTTGCACAGAATAAAATCCTTCGTCATTTTGGATCCAAAATGGCGGAAAGTTGGTGTTAATGTTAGTAATTTACATTCCTCAACAAATAATTGATTTTCGCATACGCTGTACTGAGAAAGTGTGCCCTAGTACAATTTAGTCGACGTTTATGAGGTATTTATAAAACCGTATAAGATAAAACCGTATTGAGGTCTCTTTACAAGTCTTCTTACTTAGCTAGTGGGTATTCTCACTTTCGGCCCCAACGTTGAATAGCGCATAATACGATTAAACATGTTTATGTGTCGTTAAATCAAAATCTTTAGAGAGCTTGATTTTTATTTGGCCAGCATACCCTATCCATGTTTCTACTACATTCTGATTGCATACAGAAAAAAATGAAACAACTTCCATCTGTCAAAACGTTTCCATAACCGGAAATATCACAAATGTTTCAAGTCCGGTGTCACCCATCCGACCCTCTCGAAAAAAATTACAACTTCACTTCAATTTATTATTCCAGATTTCTTTTTGTTCTAGTCTTATATTTGTTACTTGCCTATTACATGTGTAAATGGTTAATTTGAGTTGATTTAACGCACAAAAACACATTATTCGTATGTACAAGACAGAAAACCGCCCAACTAACTTTCCTATTTGAGAATGACAATGCCAAAATGCATTTTGACAGAAGTGTATCGACTTGTCGAATGTATTTTTCATTTGAGTTATCACAACATCAAGTTGTTGTGGTCAAAAAATTGACTGAACAGCATAAATCACACCTATTACAAGTTCGGTAATTTCACATCAAACCTAGTTAACGATCTGTTGTAAGTTTATATTTAACGCAATGTCTTACATTGACGAAAATAAAAAGTCAAATTAACACAACAAAACAAGGTGTGCCTTGGGGTAGGAAACACCGCACTTTCAAACTGATGACTGCAATTATCCTAGTTTATCTATAATTCTATGGTATTCGATTACTTCATCAAAAGTCAAAATTCGAATTCAAGCTGATTATATCTTATATCAACTGCATATATACTGTATTTCGCTTGGCAGACTTCTATCCAATTCATGACCATGCGTGTTTTAGGATAAGCGTTGATAATTGCAAAATAATAAGACAAAATTTATCGATGCACAAGGATTATAGCAATGGAATGAGGTAATGAGAAAATCTAAGAAAAATTAACCACAAATAATATGAATTATTATTTGATATAACAAATAATATGAATTAATATATGATATATGCGTCTCCCAGATGAATAAACTTTTAATAAACAAACCTCTATATTTCATAATGAATTCAAAATTTTTCAACTTTTTATGTGATGCCCTTGCAATCATCAAGTTCTTCAATTTAGTTATCTACAAAAATTGCCCAAGTATTTTTCCTACAAATGGACAATTCAAGAAGTACGACAGCTGTAAACTGAAGATCTATTCACCATAATCCTATAAAACAAATGTAATTGAGTTCTGTTCAACATAAGCGTGACAGAATACTTTCAAATGTATTTTAAATTCAAACTATTACAGTAAAGTTTCTTACAGTAAATTACAAATCGAAATGATATTTCAATATTTCACTTGATGAATATTGTTGATTGAAATTTAAGTTATGGTGAGCTTGTTAAAAATCCGAAGACTCAACAATTATTCGCCGTCATGACCGAATATAGTCCGAACTTATTTAAAAACATTTTCAATCATATAATCCCAATAGTACCATCCTCAACCCTATTTTTTTTTACCTAAATTTGTAAAACCGTTCGTTTTCCTATAACTTATAAGACTAACATCCGGTTAATTAAACAATATTTAAAGTCCTAGCTTCCAAAGCTTTTCTTGTTAGCTGCAAGTATTATGGATACACTGTCATGTATAATCAATTAGCACTTAGATATATTAGTTTTTCATACCGACTTTGCATTTTTACTGTATGGCAGTGTAGCTTCCACGAACTAATCAAGTAAAGCGGATACACAATGCAAAACAACCAATTACTGTTATTATGTGCCACAATAACAAAACGACAAAAATATACTCCCAGTATTTGAATATTAGAATAAAGAAAGGAAAATTTAGGCAATTTTAGGTCAATATTTATCATCATTTGTAGAATATGTAATTGGACAGTAAACATCTTAGCTGATGATGTAAACTCATTAACCCTTTTGTGTCCACAAAATTAACTGCCATGTTGATTCGATTATCTAAATATCCTGAATATTTTATTATAAATGATCATGCGCGCTCTTATCATAGCGACATGCATCATAAAAATTAAATAATATCTTTCCCAAAAAATCCTTGAATACAAATTTATAGTCCTTATGACAAAATAATTCGTTTAAAACAACAAATTCAGTTGAAGCAATGATGTTTTTCATTCCATTTAGTACCTCAATAAATTCAGCCAATTACTAGGAGAAACCCACAATAAATTTGACGGCTAATCGAGAACAATCCAGCGATAACTCCAACTTGGCAGCCACAGGGTTAACTTGAAAATAAGCTCAAAACGTTTGTCTCTATATGACCGTGAGACCGGAATTTCGATGAATAATGATTAGATATTGGGGTCGGCGATTATTCATTTTATTCGGCCAAAATTTCACAAAAAGAATTGACGCGATTAGCAACAAATCGAAACGGGACAAAGATGTTATGCTAATCAAAAAATCAGCAAAATTACCAATCTTACTTGATTATTTAATATAGTAGCAGTAGTACCTACTGTTAAAATGAAGAGATTTTTTGCTTTTATAGCAGCAATAAATACATGTATGATCTCACTTCATCGAATCAAAAAAGATTTTTGCTTCGTGCTATTACGATTCGAATAACCGGCAAATTATATTCATTTGTTACTTATTTATATAACTTGAAAATTATTTATTTCAATTATTTCATTTTATGTTATTTGACAATGAATATATGGTTGGTACGAGCTTTTAGTATTTGTATTTTAAAATTCATCGCCAAAGGAAACTGTACAACGTGTGATTTTAAAACGGTATTTATGTCTGACATGACAGACGAGTTTCCCGAGAATTGTTCATCCATAATAAAAAACCGGGATCATTGCCATTTTACATGTAATCAACTGAATATTATTAGATAAACTGTCTGTGAACTAAATTATAAATAAAACTATACACACTGCTACACAGGTAGGAAAATAAAACTTTCAAAACTAAATTGTGTGGTATCTTGTTAATTGGATGTTAAATATTTAAATTTCTAACCTCTAGATGGCGCCCTTCGTCATCTCCTTTCTTTTCCGTTTCAGAATGATTTTTCTCATCTTTTTCAAGTACAGACTCCGGATTTTCTTGTTGATCCACAGGCTCAAGAAAACAAATGCGAGCTTTCCCATCAGATGGTTCCTAAAAAATCGTGAATTAGTGAAATAATTCGTGATATAATGCAGTGCAGGATGGGAAGATTCGTTTGAGATGAAAATGATTGAAGCCGAATAAAACCTTGCTATTTGTAGATGGATAGTATATTCATAATGAACTTAATCGTTCGTGCCAAAGAAATTTTTGCAAATTATGTCAACAGATTAAAATTGCATCCGGGTTGCAGATGGAAAACAAACATGGTGATTTCAATTCTGAATTTTAACTTTTTCTGTGGTCGTTCATTAAAGTGTAGTGTCAGCGAAAACAAATACTTTTACCATCATCAAAGTCAGTTCTCAAATGTACTGGAGGATACCCCTTCTTGAGTCATATGCACAGTCTTTGTAGAATAATTATAAACCAGCGTGAGAACACACACAGGAAGTAAAAATATATATATATATAGACAATATCTGATAAACATAAATAAATCGACTATTTTGGACCGTGGAATGAGGGAGATGGTTTAATGATCAAACAATGGGTGGTTGAAACATGTCATAAAAAATGATTAATTTGTATCACTACTTCTTTGTGCATATAGCTGGATATTGAAAATATTACTTATTGGACAGGGCTTTTATATTAGATTTGATTCGCTTTTTCTCATGTACATTTTGGGTAGGTATCGGACTTTGAGTTAAAAAGCCGCTTTTGGTTGTTTAGAACTATACTGCAAGGCTATATGAACATTTGATAAATAATAAACTACGACTTGGGCATAATATTGGGGTCTGTCTCTGGCTTAATTATAATTTTTGTTTTGTTAGTTTCGTCTGTTAATCTCGGATTCAGGCTTGTATTTTAGGCTGTGACAGGTTCAATATTAAATTATATCGAGTTCGTTGATAACTCTGGTATAAACAGCGATATCTATGATTCAAAAATGTGAAAAACAACGCCAACACAATATAATATATCCCGGGACAACAACATCAAATTATACACATAAAACTGAGTCATTTATTTGAACCCCAGACAATAAAAATTTCGCTAATTTTTACATGTAGAGAAGTAAACGACAGTTGACGTAAATTTTTGATTTGTTTGCACTGTCGAGTGCGATATCGCGAAACATATTCCGGGAGGAGATAAAAGGAATTTTTTCTTTAATTGTGCCATTATCTATCCGGTACAGGCTAACAGGAACCCTTTGAAAAGCCGATTCCTTTTGTCTAGCTTTTAACGATGGCCATAAATCTGTTGATTCTAAACGTAATTAGAATTTTAATTGGATCCACAGACATCGTTTAGCCCGTGCTATCAGAATTCTATAAAATCTTACAAAGGTTAGTTGTTTTGATTTAGTAATATCATATTAAACATGGGGAATAGTAACGCCGCACATTTGTAGATTGGCTTATTTACATTCCTTGTATGATCAAAGATAATTTGGCTATAAAGTTCAGCTTTCATTTGGTGCCATTAACACAAAGGTCAACTGACGAATATGGACTTTTCCAAACCAATTATATTTTACAACTTTCAAATGAAAATGAATGTTTTTCAATTCGTAATACAAATTGGCTCTTTCATTTTGGCGTACCGCAAATACGGTTTTAAATTTACGAAAAATAATAATAAAATAAACGACAAACAGGAGTTCCAAAGATTGTAAAATTTATTTTATTTTAATTGTTGTTTTGTTCTGCCGCAAAATAGTTTTACTGTCTGATTGTGCGTGTGTGATCAGGTCTTTAATACAGAACTGGCATCATGGAAAAAAATTTGATTGTCTATGTAGTTTCGGAATTTCGAATCAACATTAATTCATATCGATTCGGAGCACTTCCAGGAAAAACGGCTTGATTCTATTTAAAATTCCAGATGACACGAGGCGATTGTACGACGCAGCGCTATCTTGACATCGACAAAAAAGTCCCTTTGTTTATTTTTCTTCATTGTGTTCACAGCCTCCCCCACTCCTGATGTTGCTATAATTCATATGGGTTACAGTTTTAAAAGAATCAGTGGATTCTCTTAATTTAGTTGGACTATTTTAAACGTAAGAAGTTTTACAAATATGTCATTTTATGAATGGTTATTTGGAGTACCAACAGGCCCAAAAATCATTTGAATAACAACATCATTGCATTATTCCTTCCTCAAAAACATAGTTTCCCGCAAACGTCACTAAAGAGCGCATTCAACTAGAGTTTATTATTGGGATTAATTCTGGAGGGCAATTTTGGAAGATTACATTTACTGTTCGTCTGGTATTGTTTGCAAACCGTACAATATCGTTCCGTCTGCAAACCGAAATTGTAATAAAAAATAGATATTAAACGAATTGCAGATCTGTGTCACAGAAAATAACTTTTTCAGCCCTAATATATTGGGTATTTGATGCATGGACTGATGCATTTTTTCCACTAAATTTTTTCAATATTATTTCAGTAATGTTACCTAGTGTTACAATTTATCCTGTCGTTATTTCGAATCTAAACAAAGTTAATGATAGTATGATGTTATACTGAATAGAATCAGATTCGGATATATTCAAATCGGAAAATTTGGGATTCGAAATTTCATTCGAACATAAAATTGTGACAAATATGTTGGGAAGCTTAAATTTCGTGTTTTGTCGATTGTGGGCTATTTTGAGTTTACAATTTCTACCATAATACACAGAATCTGAAAAAATAAAATAATGTATCATATATCGTGGAAAGCATTTTCGAACAAAGTTCATTTTTCAACATCGGATCATCCGATGAAATTTTGATAGCATGGATGGATACGGTTGTATAACAAGAATATATATTGTCATCGAATATTCATGTTTCCCGGTAATATTCAGGGTTAGGTGTCAGCAATAGAAGGAAAGACTGTTTTTTTCTTTCGTATTACACATTTCAAAAATTCTTATCTAATTTAGCCTGCCTTTTTAGTATATATCAATAGACTTGAAAACTGTTTTTAATCTGCTTTCAGTCCGTTTTTCTGCAGGAAATGAATTTTTCATTTCAAAACCTTTAAAGACTTCGATATTTTTCTGATTTGTATTGACGAAAAAAATTAGTCTGGTATTTTATATTCAAGTCAGTCCATGTTTCAAGCCGATTCAGCCTATTACTATATATAAATTTGAATTCATTTATTATCATTTCATGGGTTCTGCATGCAGTAAACATTTTTAATATACATATCTTCATTATAGTGATTGCAATATAGCTGAGAGATCCACAGGATTGACTTTGGTTTTAAAAAAAGGAATACAGAATTTGAACTTTAATTCAAATCAGTGATTCATGTATGAATAATTATTTTGTAGTCACTGTAAATAATATTTTTCCCAATGATGCAATGAAGATTTTATTAATCTAAATTCTGAAGATATGAACATAACGCATAATACTTTGTCTGGCAGAAATAATGTACATCTATCTCCCTATGAGTGTGCAAGAGAATTATCATCTTTGATAGACGTTAATAATAGATGAATATACCGTTTCTCTCCACTCAAAAACCCTGCCTAGTTTGTGAAACACAAATAAACTGAAAGTAACTTAATTATAATCAAGATATTGACAAAATTTCAGTTTCGTAAAATATCATATTCTATACGATATTAGAAAAAGTACATGTATAAATTTGTTTCAAAATAATTGATAGAGTTCGGAAATTCTAAATTATACATCTTTTTTTGTCGTGTATTTCAACAGTTAGTGTGGTATTAAATAGAAAAGTATGATATCAAACTAAATAGTTGTTAACACCAATTTATTCACTAAATTTCCGTTCAATTTACTGATTGTTTTTATGCCCCAAAAACGAATAAAAAATCCACCATCGGCGTGATGAAAATGAAGATGAAGCTAAAACATATATCGTGTGCTGGGTTAATTGCGAAAAATATTTTTTGTAAACTGTTGAAATGCGATATCCTGAGACTAGTTACGTCAACGTTATCAGAAAAGTTAATCTCCGATAAAATCTTGTATAATATAAGTAAAATAATTTTATTATTTAAACAAAATACAGTTCTAATTTTGAACTCGGTAATTTGAACAGACACTGTGACTAAATTATTTATATCTTGTCTAGGTTGCTAGTTTCTCCCAGGCGCCTAAGGATGATTAGATAAATTGCGACTCACCAGCAATATGTCCATACCCTAATTATTTATAGATGCCAGAAATCAAACAAAACAATTTTGTTTCATAAGAGCTGGTTCCATAACAGATATATATTGAAAGTGGGGGGTAAAATAGGAAAGAGAAAGCGTGAATGACAACAATCTGCAAAGATGAGGCGATAAAGCGGTAATACTAACTTGAATTATGCTGTTAACAAACTTGCACTCCACTAACTCTTTTTCCATTTTGTTCAATTGTACACCATGGACGGTCGAACCATGCGAAACAAGTAGACAAGAATCATTGAAAGTGATGCGACAAGGAATGCACATTAAAATTGACTTAGACCTGCAAAAACAATACACATGCAATCTGAGAAACTCTAAAGGCCACGGAAGACCGAACATACAAAACACCACTGAATAAAAAAGCAGATCTTCCTTTGTTATATTACCTGCTAGGGTTAGGATTAGATTCCGCCATTTCTAAGTCACGTGTCGCAATTTGTTTTATTCGCTTGAAAATTGAATCTGTGTCTTTCGTGTTGTTACAATTATTGATATTTGTTGATACTTCTTCTTCTTCTTTAAAGCTGTGGACTTGGTACGTTTGTGAGTCATTATTAGATGAGGCTGTTAACTGTACAGAGTATTTTGCTTGGCCGATTTTTTCAACTTCAAATTTTTCTGTTGTTTGGTCCGGAACCAGTGAAGAAGTATTAGTCATAATAGTTCGAGTTTTCACCCCATTTGACTTATCTTCTTTTTCGCCTCCCACTGTCGATGGTGTTACTCCGAAATCTTTCGATTCTCCTTCCACCTCGTCATTGGCGTTAACAGGTGACGACATCTTGGCACACTTGATGTGCGTTACATCGTTGGTACGCTCACAAATTATCAAAATGACACTTCTAAGAATTGGTAAGAAATTTGTATAGATAATAATAACAAAAATGTGTTTTGTAAGGAACGTTTTGGTAGTAACAGTAAGCAAATTTTTTTTACAAAATATCAATAGTTCAATGCTGGATTTTTCCTCGAATGAAAGGAAAGTTTCGATGTTATGCATCACTCACTACAGAATCACGTGACAGGTTTAGCAAACGACTTTTGGCGGAAAGTTATTGGCATTCAGGTATAGTGGAGAATCTAGGTTTGGAAATTGCAGGATCAATTTCAGACGGCTGAATTATTCGGGATGCCCGAAAATTGAATGTTCGGCTTTTTTGTAAATTAGTAGAGTTTTATTTAACTTGCAGAAGTTATCGAAATCTTAATCTTACTGTGATATACCTGAGCTAACGTTATCTCGCACTGTTCTTCCAAGTATGGGTCTACGGCACACCTCACATACAGCTAAATTCACCATGCTCTATTCTGAGTACTACTTTAATATATGCAAGAAAATGTATATTGCGTATAAAATCCTATCCTACCTTTCATATTAACCGCACTAATTAACATATTCTGTATTGAAAGACTCAAATTAACGACTACCGGTACATTTGGCATCGCATTGAATGCGATACGACATAACGTCTTCTGTGATGTTAACAATCGAGATAGCCCGAAAGCAGCGAATTCCAGTTGGCAAACCACAGAGGCACAGACCGTACAAATCAAATAAGGCTCATTACTGCTTGGTGCCTGATTACGACGCTCGGCACACATACCCACTTAAAAATTAATCACATCATCTCGCGTTTTTACATATGGTCCATAATTAAATGTTATGGCCCATACCTGACCGAATATAAAGTATTTATGACATATATTCAAACTGGGTGCAAGTAAAAGAGAGAGAAGAGCAGGTTAATTGAATAACTCATTTTGGCGATTGAGCGAAGCAAATAAGACCTGTCGCGGCTGGAAGAAGGCTTGTTTAAATATAATTCGTTTGATTTTTAACGACGAGTCGTAAAATAGCAATTTTTCTTTTCATTTAGACCAGAAAATTTCGTACCCTTTTTCGCAAACACGCTCTCCAATGCGGTAGCAATTATTGTATTGTGTGTGTGTGTATAGTCATACTTTATTGATAACGGGAAATGTCTCCTAGCTTTTAATGTGCCTTCCATCATTAACATGTATTTCGTCCTAATAATAAATCTCGAGATTTTATATCCGGTGGCGCCGCCCACGCTGTGAAAAACATGTTGAATGATTTTTCAATTCGTAATTACGATTACTAGAATTGGGTGATTATTGCTCACACAAACTTGGTTTGAAAACATTCCTTAAAGGTGGAGACAGAAGATAGGGAGACAGACACTCAGTAAAACCATACGGCATTTGGAAAGAAAATATTATTCAAAAATTAAATTTGCAAAAAGAAACCGAAAAATTATTCTTGTCCATACTGGTAGATGTCTCAAAATAGGAGAAATCAGTGTCATATAATAACAATGCTTATTGACATTTTTAAAAATATCGACATTGTATGCCAATATATTTACACAATTTACCCAGTTATTGCTCCTTACGGGTTAACCGAGTTAACGTTAATTAATGTAGATTTAGCGTTCTTTGCACGATCGGTTGTTTGGACTGATGAAGACCATGTCGAGGCGACGATAGACTAATACCACACATTGCACGATACCAGAACAATTCGTTATACAATTTTTATTCTATTGGTATTATTATTATTCTAATTTATCCTTTTGTAATTAGTCTCACATGGGCCATGTGCATTTTTCATTAAAATATGAGAAATTTTACATTGACCAAGCAAGGTAATATACCACAATATACACGATGTTCATTATCTAGTGTGGTTTGTTATTTTAATACGGTCCGTTGATACAAATTAAGAAGAACTATTTTAGTCTCCATTCAACCATAACTCAGCGCGGCTCTGATTACTGTTTATTGTTGAATGAAATAGGCTTCAATTTTATATCGCTGTAACTATTTTGATACCCAAAATAATCAGCAATTGATAAACGTGTTGTATAAAAGTCACTATATTTAGTTATTACGAATGAACTGTTTAAAAATTATGCTATTTAAAGAATTGGAGGCCCTTTCGGTGAAAACACAATCTATCGTTGTTCTCTGCATCTCCTGCGATTGTTCTATATTACGTGTATATGGATAAACTAAATATTTTGACGATAAATGAATCTGTACTGCCAATAACAAAATGATGATAATGTAAATCTCTCTCTCTCAGATTAGTTATCGCAATGTAACCGCACGATATTTTATATAAAAAAGTAATTTTTGGCGGTTTTGCGTATAACAGATATAAGCCACCTGGTTCAGATTTGGCAAAAACATGAATTAGTATAACTGTCAATTCCAGCTGCCAAAATTAATATCATCATTTTTCGAAGGAGATTAAACAGAACGGAATCCCACGATTTTTCGTGATTATTCTTGCGAAAAATATCGGGATTCTAAAAATTTAGATACATTAAAATTAATTCGAGCCCAAAAATGTTTTTATACGACGCTATTTTATGTCTTTACTCCTAGCAAGGCTCTGCACAAGCCACACTTTTGACTAACTAGACTAATGTCACCATTTACTCGTTTCGCTGTAACATAATATCGCTATAACGATATGAACCTTGTCACTCGACCGTTTTGAAAATGATATACATATCCTCCCGTAACAAGGCTTTCGACAAGAAATATAGGAAGAATTAACAACATTCCTTCCTCCATACCTTAATAGTACTTTCCATTTTCTGTCCGTCTTTGCACAAAAATTATTGAAGATATGGTGGTATGCACAAAAAATATATACACATCCAAAACGTGTAAATTGCAATTGCAATTTTTGATTGGATATGATATTAAAATTTCAATCTAACATTAGATTTAGAGCATTCCTTTCTGACATAATGAATCGCATAATTAAACTCGTATTTCTATATTTGCTTTCTGGTGAGATGACCAACGACTTCTAAGGAAGATCATAACAAAGAGAGGAGACTGGTTATTAAAATTTTAACACCGTAATGAAGAGAATTATTTCTTTCCGGCAGATGAAAACATTACCTAAATTCAGTTTATGATCATGAATGAGATATCAATGATTCAGGATTATGTATGTTTTTTATTCATAATCGTGCTTGATCGAATACAATTTCTTGATCGGAAAAGAAAATTAGAGAACAAAAGCGCCCTACGATGAAAGATAGATATTAAGAGTGATATTAATGTTATAGACCTGTGTTCCCAATCACAGACAAACAAACTTATTCCAACGCCGACTTTTTTATAATAAATGACGTCATCAATTTTGTTACGTCATACCTGAAATTTAGTCAAATTGTTAAGTAGTGGTATTTTATAGATGAAGTTTGCTGATTTTATAATGTTTCAAGCTTATATTAGACGGGAACATTGAATATTATCGTTATAATGTACGTTAGCAATCAAGATTTTCGTACGAGTCGTCTATTGTTTCCCTGTCAAGGCGCTTTTTGGGAGCTCTATTGTTCGTGAGGCCCCCGCGCGTAATAATTCGTCAGCGGGTGTAATAACCGAATGTTTCACGAGCTACATTTAATTGTGTGGTTTGTTTGGATAAAAGTTATGATGAATCGTGTTTTCGTAGAACAAAGGCTAACCCGAAAACTTCACGTAACAAACAAGAGCTTATATCCATTCTATGCTATATATTGTTGGTTTAAAATTTCAAAATATCCTCATATTTTTGATAAAACGCCAAGTCTGATTATTACTAAATTGCATAATTGTTGTTTTTAACGCTATAATTTTGCATGAAATCAGTAAATAATGTTAAAAACTTTATACGTCTAGGTGAGCACTCCCCCATGACATTAAAAATAATATTGACAATAAAATATAATGTATTCGCGTAGATTAGGATTATACTAAATTAAATCATCACTGGCCATAAATGGATCATGTATTTGTAAATATCAAATCCTTGGATGGCCATAGCTAATTATACCCGGATTTTTGAACGAGTTAATATCCATTAAGAGATCAGAATTTTGTTCTTTGTGTTGGATACCAATCCATAATAAGTGTGTTTGTTTTCCCAAAATTAGATAATAGCCGACTTGTCAGGGTTTTAGGCTTTCATTAATAACGGCTTCATTGCCGGGACCCTTTATCTTCGTGAGACGTTTAATTTGCCATTAACAAAAGAAAAAACTTTTTTCTATGTTATTCTTTCGCATATTGTTCTAGAAATTGTGTTTTTAAGATCTTGGGAAAATTGTTCTACGACAAACATCGATTTTAATTTATTCCGTACTCAATAATATTCTTATGACCTCCATTCAACCTATAAGAAATATTTAAATTGGCCGAACAAAAATTTGGTTTCAAGAGATGTCCTCGACTTAAAATATGTCCTATATCGAGTTAATAATTTTCAAGTAAATTTTGTTCTTTTCCAAATATTTTTTCCCTGTGTATAAATTTTGAAGTTATTATTGCACATTGCGATACTCCCACCCCAGTTTTTCTCCTTTGTAATTCTTTCACTCACTGTTTCTCTCACTCACTTTCTTAATTCTTCGTCTTTACTGACTGGAGAAGCATTAGTAATTTAAGTTACATGGAAAAATTAATGTAAATTTTGAAACATCGTGCCGACCGAATAAGGTAACATAATTAATAATTCTTTTCTTAGACTTCAAAAATCTCGATCCTACAGACTTACATACGCCGTGATGAATTGACATACAAACGACGAAAAAGCTGAGCAAATTTATTTTAATCAACCTTCCTATCAAAATTCCCGCTCAATCAAACCAATACTTTTTGTTTCGAAGAGACCAATTGAGGTCGCCTTTGGTTTTCTATTAGTCATTTAAAAGTACACTCAAGCAAACTGGCCGACATTCGCAAAAATCTTCTTATTCACATCTTACTATGGACCTTGTATGAAAATTGAGTCCATATGCAAACATCTGTGGTC